AAAGTTCAGGATTAAATCCAGCTGAGAATCTGTGGCAGGATCTGTCCACGGAAACTTTCTACGCAGCATTACTGCAAACTGTTCTCCAAAACCTTCAGTCTGTGAATGAGCTAAAGAGGAGGTCTTCAACAGGGGGTCCTCAACCCCTAGGGGGTCCACATCGGTACAGCATGGGGGTCGCAAAAGTTTTGGTTAAAATAGGTTTTTTTTTCTTTTTTTTTTATATTCCCCCTTGTATTTTTTTTCCACTAATTGAAATGTCTTTAAATCCACATTAACATGGATTCAACACACTGTAGTAACCAGATAAATGGAGGCAGAAGATGTCTTTCAGTCATCAATGCACACATTCAGCGACACACAGGAGCTCTTTCAAGCTGGGCACCGTTTCATTCACAACACCTGTCCCATCAACCAGGAATCAGAATCAGAAATACTTTAATAATCCCAGGGCGAAATTACTTTTGTTACATATCTCTATCTGTAATAGAGTGACTATAGGACCAGTTTGATATAACGCAATTTCATACAATATATATAATTAGTGGGTCCCCTCTCCATCTCGCCATCAGTTTGGCCAGGAAAACGTTAAAGACATCCACTGAAAGTCTTACCACTGTAATTGCAGCTGAAGGGGGCGCTATGTGCACCATATTAGGTTTTTATTTTTCCAAATAATACAATGATTGACTACTTTGTACATAAAATCAAGAGTAAAGAAATTGATATGAAGTAATGTAAAGAGGGACTGGGGGTGTAAATACTTTCACACAGTGCTGTGTCTGTAATAAAATTAGTACCAGTTGTATGGTGGGAACACCTCTTATCATTGGAGGCTGCTCTCTTATCAACAGACAGCGGGGGGGGGGGGGGGGGGGGGGTTAGGGGAGATAAGAGAGCAGCATTAGGCACTGCATGCATGATGCAGGTAGACAATGTGATTTTGAGAAGGTAAATAACTCATATGAGCTCTTTGAAAGTAAGGGGGAAACATTTTTAAGTGTGTCTCTCTTACAGCCGTTTGATCTTCCCATAAGTAAAATTAAAAGTTTTGATCAGCTTCATTCTTTGTTCCTGGACTTGTTTAAAAGAGGCTGCATGTCACATCCTTCACGTTGAGCACTTTAAAAAGAAAGAAAGGAAAGAACAACACTGTGGTGACCTTTGACCGAGTTCCCCAAACTGCAGGATTCTTGGAAAGCCAGAGAACTTCTGTGAAAGCTCCAGGACGGATTAAGGAACATGGCAAAGGAAGCAAAGGGGAACAATGGTTTTTTTTGTCTTAAATCAACTTATTTCAGCTCCAGTTATTTGTGAAAAAGTAGCTACAACCATGTCCGCTCTGTTTCATTTTTTTGACATTTTTTTCATAAATACTCATAAAAATACGCTGTAAGGACATGTCAGAACAAGTGCTACCGGGGCTGTGTGTCGTCTTGATTAACACGAGAGCACTACCACTGGGCACTGATGCACATACTGTTCTTGGTGAATGTTTGTGTTCAGTCTGTCAGTTGAGTTTGGATGTCATTATCACTGCAGGGTTGATGTGATTATACCTCTCTCTCTCTCTTTGTGTGTCAGCATGTTTGAGTTACCAGGCACCTGGTAGTTGTATGAGCCTTGTCACCTAGACTTTAGTAGAAATACTCCCTGCTTTTCTAACTGCTCTATTATTATCTATACATACATCTGTGACACATAGAGCAGGTATCTGCAGAGAGGTGTGTTGGTTTTTGTATGTGTGTCTGCAGCTTCCAGTCGAGTTTGCGTTCTTGTTACTTCCTGGCGTACAACACAACACAAAAGTACTTATTATCCAATACAATGAGTCACACTTTCTTTACAGGCTTGGCAAAGACCCGTTTGACCCGTTCATTCTTATGTTAGTCTTTTTACTTCACAATCGGTATATTTTTGGATATTGTGCTGCATATTTTTTTAAAATAGCTGAAATGCAAAAGATGCATCCAATTTTTTTTTTTTTTTTTTTTTTCTAGCGTGGTTTTATATTATAAAACACAATGTCATCACAGAATGTGGTTGCCAATAGGAAAGAGCCTGGAAAATCCTATTTTAAATAGTTTCCTGTTATGCATTCTGTAATGTATAAATACAACACAGGTTTGAGCTTTGAAGCCTTGGAGCCTTTTTATCCCTCAACATTATTGAGGGAAAACAGCTTGATCTACAAAGGGACTTGAGACAGTTTTGATAGTTAATGCAACTCTTGGTGCAAAGTATAAATAAATTAATAATGGCAGCCGACAGCTTCAGCAGACCTTAGTACATGCTTTAAAATAATGAATTTAACACTTGAGTTTTATTTATTTCAAAGTAGGAAAATCCATGTTTATTTAGAAACTACCAGGACTTGAACTTGCATTCTGTTTTGTAATTTTTTTGTAACGTTTCAAAATAATGTTGCGTTTGTGTGTTCTCTTTAACGATATATATATATATATATAAATCCTACTAATCCCAATCTGTTTGATTATTAGTTATTGGTTTAGTTTTTTTACATCTATAAGGTTCCTTTCTGGACATTCTGCCTCTCCAGTTCCATACATTCTTCTTCATTTCTAAGCCTCCGGGTCCTTTCTTAGTTTCAAGCTGCTACCTAATGAGATAAACTGTTTTTTTCACATAAATAACCGGAGTATTCTTGAGAGGAGAAGAATTACAACTTGTCACAGAATTCAAGTACCTTGGTGTGATACTTGATTCCACTTTGTCCTTTAAAAATCATATCAAAAAACTTGCCAATACTGTCAAATTTAACCTTAAAAATTTTAAGCAAATCAGGTCTTTTTTAACACTTGGTGCTGCTAGAATTGTTCTCCACTCAATGATTTTATCTCACATTGAATACTGCATCACAAGTTGGTCTCTCACCACAGTTACCAATTTAAAATTAATTGAATCACTGTACAAAAAATCTCTAAAAGTGTTTGACCAAAAACCTAATTCTTTCCATGTATGTAATATTTTAAACAAGTACAATCTTTTAAATTTTGAAAATTTTATAAATTTTAAGTATGTATGCTTCATTTATAAAGTTCTACATGGACTAGCCCCACCTCCTATGTCTACTCTGTTCAAACACAAGACTTCAAGTGGCCGGAGAACCAGGGCCTCCTCCAGAGGTGACTATGAGGTCCCTCACAGAAGAACAACTTTTGGTCAGAACACTCTCTCTGTGAGAGCCACTGACATCTGGAACAGTCTTCCTCTACACATACGGGAGAGCCCTACACTGATCAGCTTCAGAGCTCAACTCAAACTACAGATGAAAACAAACCAGTCATGTAACCACTAAACTCTTAACATTTCCTTGTGATGCTTGTATTGTATGTTATGTTCTTTCTTATGTATTTGCCTGCCTAGGGACTACGAATGGAAACTAGCTTTGTAGCTATAATCCGGCATATTTACATTTGTTTTTATACTGATGTTCATTAATGTGCATTGTCCCTATTCAAATAAATAAATAAATATTATGTACTTTTACCTTGTTTTCCTTTTAGTCATTTTCAGAGGCACATATTAGCTCTGCTGCACTGTTTCACTTTGACAGTTTTATTTATTCTGTATCTTGTTTCTATTCTTTGCACTTTGTTTTCTTGTGTCCTTCTTTGTTTGTTTGTTTGTTTTTTTTCTTTTTTTTTGGCTGCTTCATCTACCAATATTCCATGAGGTTTCTTCTCCCTCATGCCTGTGTTAGGGTCCAGAGCAACATCAGCGCATAGCAGGAACAAATGTAGCCTAATGCTAATTGTATGTTTAATAGTTTGTGGTGTTTTATTTTTAAGAAAATTAGAGATATACAGTAAAGATTTCTTAAGCTTTTCATACAGGATGTGCTTAGCTAGATTTCTTACTTTGATTCCAGTTTAGTTCTTTGACTTGTTGATGGTTCCTGTTGGGCAGCTCAGCCTTTTCCACTATAGATATAACCAACCATTTTTTTTTTTTTTCTTGGTGTCTTTTTCTTCCTTTCTCTCTTACATGAAAGTAGGAGTACATCCTGTGCAGGTTACCAAAGTTATTTAAAGAGATAATTTAACATAGTTGCATTATTCTAGTTAGTGGAAATCAGACTATCCTGAGAGAATGCATGTTTGCAATAGGAAGCACTGCAAAAATCTTTAAACCCTATTGCTTTTTTTTTTTTTTTTTTTTGCTTCAAGGGGCAACAGTGTGTATTCATGAGGCTATGTGAGCATTTACTCTTAGCCTAATGTAGAAGAGCAGTAACAAAGAGAGTGGAGGCTGCAGGAAGGAGAAAACACCACCAGGGGTTTAAAACCAAAATCCCCAAACCTCATTGGATACTCAGATGCTGCATTCATTAAAAGCCCAACAGGACTGCTGTACAATCTGATGAAATGCACATTTAGGAGCTCTCCTTTAAGCAGAATGCCAGTGATGCTGTAGAGAGGAGGATTTTATTTTAAGTACCATTATAAAAAAGAGAACCTTTGTGCTGTCTGCACTCTGCACCATGGCTTTTCGATTTGTTTCTGTTAATGATAAGCTTGATCACTGTGGTGTAAGATAAGAACATGCAAATAGGAATAGGTAATTCGACACTACACATTTGCATGTTATTAGGAAAAAAAGAATGTATAAAATATTGAGTTAAATGTAAATTCAAGCATTTTTTATTCTGTCTCAATGTTAAACACTTTTACTTTTGGGGTAATTATTGTATTACACTTTTAACAGTGTGCCATCTGCTGAGCAGACTCTGGATCAGTTTCCCCTCCCCCAGCCCAGCATCCCAACTACAAACATGTTGGACAGTAGAAGCTGATCAGGGATCAGTCACCACTTGTTTCTGGGTTGGGGTTGACAGCTTCATCCTGCCCAGCCCCCATCCAGCACTGTTGCCTAGAGGAGTCTCAGCTCCTATCGGGTGTAATATTCTGATTGGCTGCTTCCCTTCTCAGTGGGTGTGGAAAAGGCGTGGCCTGACACGTTGTGATCTCACAATCAGCTGTTTTGTACGTTTCTACATACTGATCCGAGGATCAGCTGGAAAGCAGCAATAAACAGGAAAATCTGCAGCAAAGGGAAAAAAAGAAAAGAGGAGGAAGACGCTGCAGATGTAATAAAAAAGAAACATCAGTGTAAATTTCTTACACGAAGCCCTTCTTCTGAGAAGAAAGCCTTTTTATTTTTGTATATTAGTGTTTTAACTACCTCACATAAAGGCTATATCTAAAGCTATGCTTTAAGAGCTGTCCTTTCTACTGTGTTTTCACACCTCGTTTACAACTTGAACTCAAAGGCGGGTGAGTAGCCTAAGATTTTATATATTTGTAGTCTTTTGTCTCTATTGCGGAACATATTTGCCAGCCAGCTTCTTGTTATCCGGATTTTAGCGCATTTATGAAACCTATCCGCCTCCCAAGGAATAATGATATAACATTAAGTGTGGTCATTTTTGTCTTTGTGACCCATATGGTGGGGTATTTCTGTCTGCGGTGTATTATAACTGATCTATTATTAGACATGGAATAATGCGGAGGTAGATTAGATGTAAAGATCAAAATTTAAAAATATGTATAGTTTTGATATAAAACGGAAGAAAACAAACAAAAAAAGATGATTTCCTGACTGGAGGTTTACGCTCAGTCGTTGTTTTGCAAATTGCACCAAATGCTGATGTGAGGTCGATGGCGGATGTTGACGTTTTTTTGTCGGCCTTTCTGCAGCCGGGGAAACCTTTAGGTTGTTTTTTCCCTGTTTATTATTTCAGTGTAATTATGGATCTATGATAGTTTATTACCAGGAGCCAGATCAAGTGCACAGCTGTCATTGCTGTGACCCTTCAGCTGTAGAGCTTATACGGATAAATCATATTTAACCTGAATACCCCCCCCCCCCCCCCACCCACACACACACACACACACACACACACACACACACACACAGAGTCCTGTTTACATAACGACGCTTGATCTATTTTATTTACCTCAAAACATCATGGGTGTTTGCCTATTTGCGACCTTCCCTGAAGAAAAAAAATACCACTGCTGCTGGCAGCATAATCTTTACATAAGCATAGTTCTCAGCAGGAAACAGTTTACCCAGAGGTTTTAGTTTAGTTTAGTCTAAAGATACTGACTGAATGTAATCGGTAGAAGATGTTTAAAAATACACGATCGTTCATGTCGATAGGTTGGCTTGTTTAGACCGATTTTTTTCCGTCTTTGGACGCAAAAAAATGGGCTGCAGTCTCTTCTGTTTCAGCTTCCGTGACGCAACGTTACGTCACAGTGTTCTTGTTTTCATTCTCCGGCTCTCCGCCCATCGCGCTCCTCCTTCCTAGGACCTAGACATACACTGACTTGAATATATTTTAATAATATTTACAGATATTTATTATCAGTAATTCTTGTTTGAATATATGATTTAATAACCAGATTTTGTCGCTCCCTATATATAATAGACCAGGGATAAAGCCAGCAACTGGTTTAGGAGGATGTGGGCCCCAGGGGTGGAGGTAGATGGGGGGCCAGGGGTGGCCATGGCCACCATTACCCAATTAGCTAAATAAAAAAAGCTGTTGAAAAAAAATTAAAGTTGGAGATATATATTGAGCTATTTTGGGGTTCTTTACAAAACTCCACGTAATAGCATACCATTTATGATGTACTTTATCTTTTATACCCTAGAAAAAAAATAAACTAATATTGATATTTATCTCTGTTTCCTTTTTCTTAATACGTATAATAATATTCATTATTTGATTGTCAGAATGTATTTATATTGTTATAAATGTATCAGTAGCATTACTACTTCTGCTGCTCCTTTTATTACTGTGGTTATTAACTGGGGCGAAGCTAGACGGGGGGCCAGGGGTGGCCATGGCCACCATTACCCAATCATTAGCCACCCCTGTGGCCACCCATACCATTTTTCCCCTCTAATACAGATGGTGGCAGCAGTAATAGTCTCAAGTGGAATATTCAAAACTTTTTAATTTCTTGTGGTTAATTATACACATCAATATACCAACATCAAAAATGATAAACACAGATTTCATGCTCTTTTCAGAACTAGATTTAGTGTTGCATGGGGTAAAGAGAAATTATGCGTCTCTGCAAATCATCTAGGAGTCTTCAGTGAAATCCTAGAGAAATAACAATTTTAATAAAAAATGATCAAATAATCAATTTATGTTTACATTTTCTGGTCATGCCTCTGTCTCCGCCCATCGCGGTCCTCCCTATTAGGACCTAGACATACTCTTAACTTGAATATATTTTAATAATGCAATATTTACAGATATTTATTATTAGTAAATCTTGTTTAAATATATGGGCTATTTTAATATCCAGATTTTGTTGCTCCCTATATATATATATTAGACCAGAGATAAAGCCAGCAACTGGTTTAGGAGGATGTGGGCCCCAGATCTAAAGCTAGTGTTGATGTCCTACTCAGACATGTTTTGTTTATACATGCATTTTGCAACACAATGCATGGTAGGTAGGTATGGATGCTGGTAATTTTCCCCTACACTACTTTTTTTTTTATACCTATTAATTTTAGTGCTTTCTCTAATGGGACATTTTGTTCCAGTCATGCACCCGTTTGTATTTGGGTGGGAAATATTATACACATAATTGAAGAAGGACATTCAATAAAAAAAAAGAGAGAATAAAGGCAAAAAAACATGATATACCTAGTCTTGGCACTGTGCAAACAAAACAAAAAAACATTTATTTCAAAGCAGTGTCGAATTTTTTTCACAAAGCCTTTTATATAAATAGCACCCATATCAGAGACATGTCCAGCCATGCCTATATGTTGCAATGTTACATAATTGCAAAACACTTTTGGGGTCATTGAGGTTAAAACCACATTTAACCAGTTCCAGTAGACATTGCCGGTGTTTGTGTTCAGTGTTTATGTTAATTGCTATTAGCTATCACAAAATTTCAAATGCGCTGCAGACATATTGGATTTGGAAAACAAGAATCGTGAAAAACCTCTATCCTCATCATGGGGAGTGTTGGCTTGGTGGTTATAGCAGTGTGCTTGTTCTCTGAAGTTGCAAGTACCTGGTCCGATCCCTGCAGCCTGCACTCTGGGTTCCTGAGCAAAACCCTTAACCCCATGTTGCTCCCAGAGTGCCACACAATGGCAGCCCACTGCTCCCCAAGTGGATGAGTTAAAATGCAGAGATTGAATTTCCCCATTGTGGGACAAGAAATTGTTTTAAAAAATTTTTTCATTTAAGGTACAGTCTGTATGTTTATATGTATATTATAATGTGTTGGCCAAACACATTAAACAGACACAAAAAAACTGCAAAGAAAAAATGATGCTGCAAAAGAGCAATATCGTAATCACAGAAAATAAAGAGCATCAATGTAGAAAAATCCTGCAAAAATACATAAATGCTGCAAACACATAAACACTTGCAAAAAATGAAATGATGAAAATATAAAAAAAAGAAAAGAAAAAAAGAAGCAAGATAAGAAAAGCATAAGTGCTCCAGACCAAAAGGAGGAGACAATCATCAACTTATATGGGACCATTCTATTACTAAAGGCATAAACGGGAGGATAAGGTAATCAATCATATCATAAACACAAGGACAAATTAAGGTAAAACTTCCTTGTTCAGCTTCAATTTATATTTATGTTTGTGTTCTACTCCCATATGAGATGATGACTGTCTCCCCCTAGTGGTCTGGAGCAGTTCCCTTACCTGGGCATCATTTTGCAGCTTTTCTCAACTGGTTTTTTCATACTGGTAGTACTTTCCTTTACATGTGTTTTTTGGTTTAGCGAGGGGACAAGAATCCAGGACGAGAAAGTAAAAACCCTGTACAGACATTAGTTCCAACCATTTGCATTTCCAGCTCCAAAGCACAGATAGAGTACTAACCACATATTTCAAGTGAATAACATAAAGGTCAATTTTAAAGGGTTTTTACATTCTAGACCTGGATTATCCAGTTTAGACACTAACATCATGTATGTATCTGCCCCGCGTTTTGTGTTTCAACTCAATTCGATCAGTTTATTTATTTATAGCGATTCACAACGCATACAGTCAGAATGGTTAAAGGTTTTCTATATAAGGATATCTTGCTGCTTTACAGGATGTTTCCATTTTGCTGCTCTCTATTTTCTGTGATTAAAGCTTTTTTCTTTTGCAGCATTTTTTTTTTCCATATATGCTTTAAGCATTCTTGAGTATTTCATGTTTGCAGGATCTTATGAATTTGTTCTGAAATCATGTATTTAGACTGCTTTTTTCACTCCTCAGCCATAATTTGGTAATTCTCATTTCAGATATAGAAAACAAAATGACTGTTTTCATCATATATTCATATATATATATATATATATATATATGTATATATATATATGTATATATATATATATATATATATATATATGTATATATATATATGTATATATATATATATATATATATATATATATATATATATATATATATATATATATATATATATATATATATATATATATATATATATATATATATATATATATATATATATATATATATATATATATATATATATATATATATATATATATATATATATATATACAAAACAGGCAAATGATCCCAGCTTGCAACCATGCATTTCCATCTATCCACAGTCAGCTTTATTATTTAATAAATAATTATTAGTGCATGTAGCTTATAATCCTCACAACTATAAACTATTGAAGAATTTCCCAGCAGTAATATACTGTATTGTATCAAATGACCCCAGATTTGTAAACAGTTTGTCCATGTGTCAGTGGTCTGCAGGGAGACTGGGTGTGGTAACTGTTTCACCTAAAGTCAAGCAGTTTAAGTACATAAAATATGACCTTTGGACGTATAGAGGGTGACATGGCAAACTGTTTAAACATTGCCTAATATTACATCATCTTTGTTCAATTGTAGGTCAGGCGCTGGCTCTTTGCCACAGCATTTGGTTCCAAAATGTTTGGTCTTTTTTTGCAATCAAAATCCTGCACAGTCAGTGTGCTTGTTGTTGCAAGAGTCTCTTTTGTATTACCTTCTTTCATCTTCTTCTCTTCTGGCTTGTCCATCTGTCCTGAAACTCTGCTGATTGGTTATCCAGGTCTGCAGGGGGGAAGGGAGCTTTTGCCATTGTCCTTATGTTCTTTGCTTAATAAATAATTTCTATGCTCATAAATCACTCTCCTTCATGTTTTCTTCACAGGTCTGTGATGCACATCACAGTATATGGCTTAAGCATATGCCCTACAAAATTTGATATACATTCTAAAGCTTGTATTAGAAAATTTTATATCTAAACAAACTTGAAATTGAGTTATATAAAGATGACAAAGTTGTCAAAATCAGTATCTGACCTGGTTGATTGTTTATTCTGTAATGGAGGCAAAAGGTGACTTTTTTAGTTTGAATTCCTCGAAACCTTTTAATGTATATTCAGCTAGTTATGTTTAAAGTTAATTTTCCCAAATTATATTTAAAAGGATGATGTATAATTTTATTAATGCTCTTGGAGGGGTTTTTTTTCTACTTGGATTAAATCAAATAATTTCTGTATGTGGCCAACTAACGCCCCTGGTGAAAAAATAAGCATAAGCACTAAACAACAACAACACTTTATTTTTATTAAAGGCACTAAGAATCCATTCGTATCAAGCGTAATGATATTTGTATTTTTTTCTTCTCTGTCTCCTCAGGCCTTTGTTCCAAACCAAGTGAAACCTTACATTTGCACTACTGAAGTCCCTCCCGCTTTGATTTGTCAAATTCAAGATCAAGCACAGGGCTTAAGTGGAAACAAGAACTTCAGGCAGAAGATCAGCATTACAAAACCGCTATTACACCGATAGAAATAAAACAGAAAAGGCAGCTATTGCATATTATTTCTTTTTGGAGAGCTCATAGCACATCCCAGACAGCAACACTTGACAATACAAGCAGCAATGTTTCAGCGTCTGAGCAACTTGTTGTTTGGGGAGGTGGAAGAGGTGGCAGCTGATCTGAAGGGACCCAATCCATGTGTCACCGAGGCCGACGAGGAGGGCTGGATGCTCGTCAACCTGCCCGGTAAGTCATAGACTCAGCCATTCGGTGTCATTTCATTTCAAAAACTCAGAAAAAAAATACAACCATCTGGCATAAAATTATGACCACTTAAAAGAAATTAGCACTAAATAATACATGATTATGGTGGGAAAATGCCAGAATTTGATCTAGACTATTTCTGATAGACAGCAGGGGTAAAAAAAAATCTCCAGCTTTTAATTGGGGCTCCTGGTCTGCAGGTGTCAGAATTAATTATAGGTGTTAGAGGAAGGAAGGAAAACTGTATTTTCTGCACTATAAGGTGCATTTAAAAACCTTACATTTTCTATAAAAACAATGCCTTATACATGTATTAATTTGGGTTGTGCTTACTGATCTCAGTGTGATTTTGTGTGGTCAAAATGTTTTAGTAGGACTTTGGTAAACTACAAAGCCACAGCACTTGAGGCTACAGCAGTCAAGCGGAGTGTGGAGTAATACATGCTGTGCTTCACCGTAATATCACTGTGTGTATAAGGACCCCAAACTGGCAAGAAACACAATTACATGGCAGAATTCAAACACAAGGCTATCAAGTGGAGGAAGCAAGAAAATGAAATGCGCACTATATATATGACAAATGTTAAAAAGCAGACCATTTATCGACAGTGTGCCCCTATATTGCAGAAAAATCAAAAACGGTAAACCAGCAACGGGAAAGTTTATGGATGTTGGTGCAAATTCCTGTTCATCACCAACTGCCTTTGGAATTCTTGGAGCAACATAACTAAACACCAGTTAAAGTGGAAACAGTGGGCTTCTCTTTCAGCAAAATTAGACTTCCTCCAACAAAGCAGAAATGATCAAGAAATAGTTTGAGGATAACTAGTCTGGGATGTAAACTTGGCCTTGGAATTATCTGAATCAGACTGAGCATCGGTGGATTCAAAAGTCTGATCCATCAAATATTTTAGTGCCTAAAGGATCGGCTGCCAATAAGTTGCTACTGGAGACCAACGCCAAATTCAGGAACAACCACAATATTAAGGTGGTGGTCATAATGTTATGCCTGATGGGATGTTTAAGTTGTGTGTTGTAAAGTGAGAAACTCTAGCGTTTTCTGTTTTCTTTGTGCCGTGTGATTGAAATGTGAAAGGTAAATGGGGATGGTGGAGTCGGGTGTAGAATCAGTCTGGGCATGGTATACCTGCAAACGGCCAACGTAACAAAAATGTCTATCAGTTGATTAAAAGCCCAGGACCATTCAGCTTCTGCCATTTTGTTCACACTGAGATTTTGACTAAAATTGCTTCTTGGAAAAAAGCTTTGGTGCCTTTACAGGAACCAATAACATATCAGACATATTTTGTCAAGTTGTTATTTCATGCTTTGGTCATTTTATAGTTGACCTATTAGGTGCAAAATAGAAACCATCTAACACATGATGTTTTGTACCAACCATGCATCAATTTATACCCACCATGGCAATGTTTTGTTTCCAGAAGAAGCGTGTTTACTTGTCCCTAATGACTGATTTCAATTTACAGTTATTCTAATTTGATCAGAGGTTTTAATCAAGTCACCCAAATAGGGTATCAAGATGTGAATAATGTATACTTTCATAGTACGTAATAAAAATGCTAATAAAGGAAATTGTTCATCTATCATTCACTTTTTTAATCTTTTATTCATCATTGATGTATTTCTCTGGTAATTTGTGTTCAAATGTATTTCTTTTATCTGTTTGGACTTGAGAAAAGTTGGAAATTACACATAGCTTAGGTTTGAGCATTTTCAAAATTATCTGTCCCATAACTAAAACAGTTAACTAATAAGAAAAATCAACTGTTCAGTGGTTCACCATTTTAGTATGAACTTGGCAAATGCTAGGATGAAATGGTGGTACAAAACAGCGAAGAGGCTATATGAACATCAAAAGCACATCTCAGCAGAGTCAAAACACAACTTCTCTGAATGATCACAACCTTTAGAGGGTCGGCAAAACTAACACTGTGACTCCTTTATGTTTTGTGTTCCCTTTCCACATCGGTATGTGTGCGCGTGCGTATGTGGTCCCTCTAAAACTTTTGCTCCATGTCCCGCATGGCCTTTTTAAAATTTTTTGCCACATCTGGAAAATATTTTTCTGGGGGGAATCCTTCTCCTGCCTTTATTGGCCTTCCCTTTCTTGATCTCATCTGTGCTTAAAAGACTGTGACAGCATGATGCAGGTAGAGGATGAGATGGGAACCCCACACACTGCGCAAGCCTTACCTCAGAGTAAACTATCAGATCACCGAAACACACAAAGAAGTACTGATTGCCCAGCCTCCACACCCCATCTGCCTCATAAGCGTCGTAGACCACATAAAGGACAGACACGGGGTCCAGCAGTCCCATCGGAGGCCCTGTCTTGTCCCAGCGCTAGTCCACCACATTTAGGTGCCACCACGCCTGTGAGTCTACCGAGACGGGCCAGACTGTCCACGCCCTCCTCCACCCCGTCAATATCTCCAGGCTCTGGGAGCGATTGTGGGGGCAGTAGGTCAGGCTCAGAGAGAGGCTGCATGGATGAGAGCTGGTTTGTCACCCCTCCCCCCTGTTTCACTGCAGAAGGAGCCACGGCGGAGACCAGCCCCATGGAGGACCTGCTCATAGAACATCCCAGCATGTCGGTTTACGTTTCCCCCAACAACATGTCCATGCTCTCCAGCAGCAACCTGTCTGTGGTTGGGGAGGAGAGCATAGTCAGCCTAGCGAGCAGTGCCAGGTAAGATATTTTTTATATCCACACTACAACCTTCCAGTGCTTTAGTAGCTAACAGAAATCCATCTTTTTTTTCACTCTTATTTGCAGCAGAGTGACTGAACCAGCAGCTCCCCCTGCTACACGTGGCACCATGCCCACCAGGGTGAGTCGTGGAGCAGCTGCACAGGCTGGGGCTTTGGCCAAGGTCACCCAGGTGGCCAGGGTCCAGCGTTACAAAGCTCGCATGGAGCGGCGCCACCTGAGCCGCAGCCACATTCAGCGACAGAACCGTGTGAGGGAGCAGGTCCCTCGTCATGCTTCACACGCAAGAAACACCTACCTTCACCAGCCCAGCAAGCGTAACTTCTGTCACTAAGCTCAACATCAAAAATGAGAGGGGGGCTTCATTTACTCTGGGGGCATTCATAGTGCAGAGTCAAACATAGTTAAACATGTCCACCCACAGCATTGTCAGCTTCCATTTTCACTAATAATGTCAGTTTTTACGTTTCTAAAGAGGTCTAGGGAGTCTGTTTGTTTCAGCACAAACTGACTCCATTTTCACCCAGCCTGCACCTTCTTAATGTAGACCTTTACAGACCATAATAACAGCCCCCTTATTGTCCACCAGAATAAGAAAAAAATAAAAGAGTAATTTTTCGAGCTACATGTAGTTATATTAACACTTGGAGAATAGCAATAGTTGAGTTGTATTCATTTTCTTTAACATTTTAAAAACATATGACTCACCCAAAAAATATACAACTGTGGTGTCATCACATGGAATAAAAAAAAGACCAAAACAGCCACTTTCTTTATACCCCAACTGGACAGTATGTTTGCAAATCTACAAAAAAGGATGAGGGTTTTAATTCTTTTAGTTTTACTCAGAAAACACAGTAGAAAAAATGCAAGAAGGATAGAAGAATAAGCTCAAGTTGGTTTCCTTGCAAAGTTGCTTAACTAAAAAAAGCGTTTCACCAGAGGAAACAACAAGCTCTCTTCTTTGCCTTGTGCAGAATGCAACAGCATGTAGGAGATTGTGAAAGAATGTGCAAAACAGACTAAAGAGTAAAATAATCTCTCAGACCAGGATTTTAGAAAAGGGAGAGTCAACCCTTAGAGCAGCCGGTAAGAATCCTTCCATTTACGGCTAATCTTTGGGTTACAGGGTAAGGAAGATATGGTGAGGTCACTCGGTATTGAAGGGGACTCTTTATTTTGTTTTGTCAGCATCATGTTTGTCTGTGAAAAGCAGTTTAGATACGCCAACTTTCTGGATGATTTCTATCAAGAGAGCAAATTTAACTGTTTCTGCTCAGTTGGAAAAAGAAATCAGGCATTTTAAGTCAACAAACCAATTTTTCCAGAAGCAATATGTGCTATGAATTTATACTATTGGCATATTTATAGAAGAGATCCTCAGTGCCCTGCGGAAGACACAGACTGCTTGGCGTTTTTGAAATTTTGTCACATTACCACCATAAGCCACAAAGATTTTTGTTGAAATTTTAAGTGAGACCAACTAGAAGTAGCGTGTAATTGTGAAGTGGATGGAAACTTGTACAAGTTTAAAATCTTCAAGGGAGATTTGTGTTTGAATTCGTCCACTTAAATCGTCTATAGAACTCGCTTTTGTAGACGTTACACCTTTGAGTCTTGGGGGTGCATGTCGTCATCCATCTTCTCCCATTCTTCACTGCAAAATATCTCCCTTTCAGTAAGCTTTGCAGAGTGTCTGTGAGCGTCTTGTTGCAGTTTTTCACTCATTAAGTCTTGTCTGTGACTGGTTCATTCTAAAACATTATTCAAATGTTCACATTGAGGTGGAGTTTGCAGTTTTCCTACACCTTTCCTTTTTAGGATTGGTGGTGTGAACTGTGCTCCAGATGACTTTTTAAAAGTGGGGTACTCCTTTATAACTTAACCTGGTTTAAAACTTTTCAAAAGCACAACCCGTGTGCTGTGTTCCTTGGTCTCTATGGTGCTGTTTGTTCACTACTGCTCTCTAAGCAAGTTCTTAGGCAAACACAGAATGGCTGTAATCAGAAAGAGATTAGATTGCATATAAATAGGTTTTTTGTTTACTAATAAAAGGGCATCTAAAGACAAATGGTTGCTCTGAATATTTTTGGAGGAATACTATTTACACGCCTCATTCTTCAAAGGTTTTAATAATGATAATAATAAAAACAAAACATTCATCCTTGATTTTTCTTCCATTTTATAATCATGCTATAGCTTTCGGTGGTCAGAAAATTACAATTACATATCTTGAAGTTTGTGGTGGTGATGTGACGGAGCATGAATAAGTTCCCTTGTAAGGCACCATGTAAAAGGAAAGAGAAGCTTTCTGTATGTCATAGAGTAAAACGCCATCCATCAGTAAATCCAAAGCCAACATCTCTACAGCAACCGCTCCATAAATGTCCCGCCGTTATGTCGCTTTCACATCCAGCTCTAACATAGTCCTCTTTTAGGATCTGGCTTACTGATATGTATTCAACAATATTAAACAATGGTGCTGAAGTGTATACTGATGTTTGTAAATTATTTTAAAACGTGGATGTAAGTTTGCACTGTCAGATATTGTTTGGGTCAAAGTTTTAGCAGTGTGCTGTGAGCTTTTTTTTTTCCTGATTTACTTTTCGATTTTACTTTGGTGATTTTTTTTTTCTTTTTTGTTTGGATCCTAAAGTGTGAGAAGGTGTACTGGCACACTCAATGCTAGCAGCTTTCCTAAACGGGGGAAAATACTAACATAAATAATAATAAAAAAAAGTTTCTCTTGTAAATATAAGAACATTATTTACAGCTCTCCTTTATAGATGTGAAAGTCTCTCAAGACTTGAGTCCACGACATCCCGTCCAGTTGGAACTGAGAGGCGGTGAGGCCAGAAGTGGTCGCAGAATAACCCCCCAAAAGCAGCACTGAGTCAGTGAATGTGCCATAGGCAAACCTTGGCCTACAGAGGGCATTGTCACACAGCACCTGCTGAGTTAATGGTGATGACATCACAGCAACAAAGAGGTGGTTTGAAAAGATCTCTGTTGGAGTGTTCAAGAGAAAGATTGTCTGTGGGCTCATTTCTGATTGTTTGAATGAGTGATTTTTTTTCTTATGTACTTTTTGGTTTCCTTTGATCCTATGAATGATAAACTCTGTGCACCCACAAGTAAAAAAATTTATTAAATCCTTTTTTTTTTTTTTTGCTTTAAAAATAACTATGATGTAATCATTTATATCCTCTACAATGCAGAGCATATGAGGCATTGATCCCACACACACATACATGAAGTGATGCCTTTATGGCCACCAACAGTATTCCAAGTCTTACTTTTCTGTGCCTGGGAGGTAGATTATGTTCTTCGGTTGCAAAAATAAAATAAAAAACTTAACAAAAACGAAACAATAATGAAAAATCACGTGTTCAAGTTTGCAAAATCAATACAGATGTCTCTGCAGTTGGAAATGTTTTATTATCTTTTATTTTATTATCCCTTTTATCATTTAAGAATGAAACATGTTTTCTGTATGTTGTGTTTGATTATTATAAGGGTGTCACGCTTTGTGTGAAAGTCTTGAAAAGCGATAGTGAATGGATAAGAGATGTTTTACAGGATGTAGACAAAAATGGACATAAGAGAAATAGTTTCTATGTATGAAATGAAATGCTCAGCATAAAAAAAAAAAACATGGATATGTTTGTATTTTCCCATATAGCTATTAGAAGTTGTTTAACAATATGGGTGTTTATAAACAAAAGGCAATGAATGTCTGGGAGGTGTTTTTCCTGTTTCATGTTGTGCCCTAAAACTAATGGCAGCTTAAAAACACTCGGGAGGATTTTCCCTTATTGCAGCTGAGTAGGTACAACCCTCCCTCATTCATAAAAAAAAAAAAGTGAAATCTATAAACCTTTGAAATTTGGTGTATCTGGTATTTATGGTGACTGTGCCTTTTCACTATTTCTGCATGGTTTTTGTGATGTACTGGCTCCCCATCCTTGGAAAAGTCATCAAGTGACAAACAAGACCTATGCAAAAGTCAACGGATGGGTTTTTTGCAGCATCCATTCAGGCACCCTCAGTGAAAAATAAATAAACATATATAGTAAAAGTTGAAAAAAAAAATAAGAGCAACAATAAATACTCAGGTTAAAACCTGAATCCTGTGTCATTATTTAAATGCTGAACTCACACCTTAGAAGTCACACATGAAATGTTCAAAGAAAGGGTTGAGTGAAATAAAAACATATTGATAGATAAATAGAACATATTCCTTTATTTAAATAAAATATTTTCATGACTTTTTATGCCTTAACAAAATAATAATTAAGGACTAAAGCCTGTTTTTAGAAGAAGACCATTATTTGAATACAAAAACAAGCATGGAGTTAATATTTGCCACTTCCCTTTATTGATTTAAACCATTCTTTGTCAATAAGTAATCATTATGAAACACATGAGTTAATCTAGATTTTACTGGATGAATACATATTTTCAATTATTATCTTTTCTCTTTTCTTTCTAAGGTAAGAATCATACACCCACCCCTTCATATACACATTACACACCTACTTACATTTAAAATACATGTCTCCAACCGACTTTCATGTAAACTGGCAGGAAGCAGTCCCTCAGCATGATGCACTCACCACCATGCCTGGGAGTTCATGTAGCATTCTTATATCTTAGGCTCCACTTTGATTCATCTAAACCGACTTCTCATTCTGGTTGAAATGCTCAAGCTTCGATTTCTCTGTTGCTAAAACAGAGATAGATGTAGTTTTCTTGTCAATGTAAACAGCTGCAAATTTCTCCCCAGCTTTACTTCAAGTTGCGTTTTTATCTTTCATTTTATTTATCTAATTTACACTTTTTTTATAAGCATAACGAACTAACTTCATCAGAAGCTGCATCCAAAAGTCTTTAACAGCTTTCAGTGAGTTCACACTGATTACAATAACATTTAAAAATGAAAAATTTAGGACGAAAGAAAACGTGTTTGATGAGATGGTTGTTTCAGTAGTTGGTTCACAAGTAAAGCATGAGACAAATAAGGAAAAAGCCACAGCTGGTGAACAATCGAACTTAGAACTAATGAAAAAAATTATAAATTGGACGCTAATGTTATAATATAATATTTGTGTAGTGTCTGCAAAAATATCTCCACATCAATATTCCTGTTCCTGCACAATAAAAGTCTGGTTCTGCCTATATTGTTAAATGTACGTAGTTAGGAAAAGGAAAAGGTTCAGGAATGAACCCACATGAGGTAACCAGACAGGTGTGGTCATGAAGAGTAAATATTGTTTGTTGATCTGGGTGGTGTGTCCTTTCTTGTGTGTAACACTGACTTATAAAGGTGTACACAGGAAAATCACTTCTGCACCCATTTAAACACACAAAAGTAGACTATAATAAGCACCCATGAAGGAATGATACAAGCCTGCATTTAAAAAATACGGTAGTATTTTTTTAAATAGTAAAATAGTAAATAGTATTCTCTTTTGAGTTAAAACAGCATGTCAGGGTTAAATAATGCATGGTGCATCAGCAGCAGGTTGAGCTTCTTTTTCTGCTTCTCTAAAAGCAAAGTCGAACATGGAGGGAAACTGGAGAAAGCTCTGCCACAGATTAGCCTGTTAAAAAAGACAGTAATGGCAGCCTAACGTTGCAGTAATGTCCAGATAAAAGTGAAGCTGCCAGGCAGAAGCAATTGCATATAAGGTTTCAAAAATTCCTCCACTTTAGCCCTTCCATAAAATGAAAAAGATTTTTCTTTTTTATTCTTTTTTTTGCTTTTTTCTTAGTAGAAATAAACACACAATCAAAGCCGCATGCACACAGGATAATAAAGTCTGGAAGCATAATGTGTACCTTGCTATAAACCATGGAGCCAGCATGTTGGTTTTCAGAAAATCCCAAAAGAGAATGTGCTGTGCTTTAAGTAAACCCACCTATTAATGGATAAAAAGGGAGGTTTGGAAAGGGGTAGTCAAAATCTGGACCTAATTTACTTTAGATGCTGTGTTCCCTTAAACAGACTATAACTACCCAAAAACCATCCAATGTTGCTGAATTT